TTTAGTCAAGTCGAAAACATTATTTTAGCCACCATTTTTCCAATATGACCGCCAACTTTGATTTTTCTTATGGAACACCCTGTATTTTATTATGTATTTCGGTAGAATATGTAATTTTAAGACGATTTTATACTTTCGTACTACTAAAGTTTTAAAATTTCGGCATGAGAAAAAGTTTCGATAAAGACCTAAGCAAGGATGCCAGCTGTTTTATTCGAAAACTATTCAAAATTTCACAACTTAAACAATTACTATCTTTGAAACGGTTAGGTTTATGAAAAAATCACAAGAATAAAATCGTCTTAAAATTACATTTTCTACCGGAATACATCATAGAATACAGGGTGTTCCATAAGAAAAATCAAAGTTGGCGGCCATATTGGAAAAATGGCGGCTAAAATAGTTTTTTGACTTGACTACAATTTTTTTAAATAAAAAATCCAAGGCACTTACCATTTAACTTTTATTGATATCTCTTATGGTTTTCGAATAAAACAGCTGGCACACTTATATCAATCACCCTGTATTTTCACGGGATGAACAAAATGTGCCATATTTCTGAGGTAAAGTCACTTAATGAAACGGTAACAAGTGAAACCAAACGAACTTCTAAGATGTAAACTAAATTAGCTTCTTGGTACGCTCTTAGTAATTTGTGTTTACGCACATGCTTACCTACCGCATTGTTTGCTACGAAATGCTATTAAATAATACTTTTACACCTATTTATTAGACGTAATGATCGTTGCTAGATATTACTAAGAACTTGACCTTTTGATTATTACTTAAATTGCCCTGCTGTATCAGGTTGAACAATTATTTGTAACAATTATATTGATATTAAAACATTGTAAACGTATAGGCCTATATGTTAAGTGTGAAAGACCCATGGACCGTTGATGATGGCTGTTAAAATTTGTACTGATAATTTGTATTATATTAGTACTAGTAAGGTTGTGACAATAATATATTTGACCACTTTATGAATTTTGAACTAAATTTAATAATAAGATAATAGGTACAGTATATCCATGTATTTAATTAGGGATAGAGTTATACACACGTTTTAAAATTAATTGCAGCTATTAAAATAAATAATTATTCCACCCAGAGGTAATTGGAAACTCGGTGGCTAATGATTGATAATTATAATCGTAATTACAGGATAATTCTATTCACATGATACCAACAGTATCTGGTTGATTGTTGTTTTAAGGCAAATTACTTACATTAATGCGCACCAATATAAAAGTTGTCTCAGGAGTTCTATGATCTTATTCAAATTTTAACCCCATTGCAATCACAAGCTTTGTCACTCATAGATATACAATTTCAAACCGCTACGGGCATAAATGATTTTGAGAAACAAAAAACTAAAATGCGATGTTTTTAAAGTAAAAGTAAACAAGCAACGCATATTCTACTACGTTACGTTGTCTTGCCTGCAAATCAAATATACTTTGACTTAGTAAAAGGAACACCGCTTCAAAAGAAAATTAGGTAAATACAAGCTTGTTACAGCTTCTGTGCATTTCGAATGATGATATTAAAGTAAAAAAGCAAGAACAATTCTTTTGGACTGTGATTGCTTTAGCGTTTTAATTTTTCAGACGCTAAGCACGTAAAATCGATCTATATATTAATAGCCAAGCATGTTTCTTTAAAACCTTTTTTCTCAGCTTGTGTGCATCGTGGGGTAAATCTGCGCATACCGTTAGAAAACAATTTTCCTGTAGGTGTGCAGAATCCCTTTATAAATTTAAATAGGCTCAAAGATAAGCACAACAAATGAGTTTAGAAATTTGAAAAAATGAACATGGATCTTATGCGTTGCCATGCTGGTGACGAAATAACAACGAAATATAAACAGAAAATCAAAACAAATGGAAGAAACTCCAATCACATGTTTTATTTACAGCGTGGGGTGAAAATAGAGAAGTGAGTACATTACATATTTTTGGTCGAGTTTCGACCACTGGACGACCTCTCGTATTTATAAATCGCGTATGTATTTCTTGAACCGGACATCTAATTGTGTTTATTAAATTGTTAAACCGTACTGGTTTAAAATAGTAAATCAATGTTTCAACCTTTAATTATCCATTCCTGATTAGAATTTGGGCTTAAAGGTAGTTTTAGTTTCAACGTTTTTAACAGAAAAATAAAGAATCGGTATGATAAATATTTCAAGCGCACCGAGCAGTATAAAATAAATAGCTATCATAATTTAGGTAAGTGAATGATTATATATATGGTATAGGCAACCGGGCTGTTCTTTGCTTTATAAGAGTGAAGATGAGATACGACATCGTTTAAGTTGAAAAAGAACCAGCTTATTCAAAAGTGAGCGTTGTAAACTCCATCTTTTATATATTAAATCAAATTGGTTAACATAAATCACTATCTTCAAGAAGAACTGTTAATACTGGAATTATACTAATTTGAAATAATAACTTCGCCAATATTTCTGAATTTTTAATTTTTATGAGGCCTTTCGCCAGCTATGCTGGCATCATCAGACACATCACAAAACTGAAGGTTATGTTTATGTTATGTTAAACATAACCTTCAGTTTTGTGATGTGTCTGATGATGCCAGCATAGCTGGCGAAAGGCCTCATAAAAATTAAAAATTCAGAAATATTGGCGAAGTTATTATTTCAAATTAGTATAAATCACTATGTCTAGAACCCATAATAAGATAAGTCTGTTGATTAAAGTTACTGAATACAGATGTAACACGAACTTATTGCATCTGATATTTCAATCACTTGTATGATTCTGGTACATACCATACAAATAACTGTAAAATTGTGTTGTTTTTGTAATCACAAGCACTGATTTTTAATAAAATAAAATATTCCAATTGGTATTTGGTCAGAACCATAGCAATTAGGTTTAATGCGTTTTAAAAAAGGAACCTTAGATGCAGTATTTATATCAACCAGCATAAACTAAAATAAGATTTAAACAATAAAAATATGTACACAAATATACATATTTGTGTTGTTTTACCCATGCATAACAAGCTAAAAGCTCTACCTGCGATTCAACGGCAACAGAAATAAAGAATTGACGGAGTAAGGGATGTGTGGAATGGGGAGTGTACGCTATGTGTCATTGCAGTTGTCACTTTGCAGCCGATAAAATACATGTATTGGAGATTTATTCTTCCATTTTGCATACGCTGTGACTTCATTGCTCACGGTTTACACCGAGAAATATTATGATAACAATGATTTATTATAGCTAAGATCACAGAATAAGAATATACACATGTCTGCCAGTTATTATTGTGCCTAATTTTACAAAATACTCTTTACAAATTTGAAGAATGGTGGTTTTGAGTTGAAACTGTTTACTAAGAAGTATTAATACTTAAATTTTTCGGTTCATGGCACTGCTGGGTAGAATATACAAAACATTTAAATCAATATAACTGATATCATTATGTAGATTAAGAAGTATTAATACTTATTTTTTCTGTCCATGACACTGCTAAGTAAAAAAAAAAAAAAAAAAAAAACAATCAATAGGAAGGAAACAAGGAAAGGAAGAACATTCATTAGGATCCAAACGAAAGGAGCTACAAGGACCAAGGAGATTAAGTAACCATGCTTTCAAGGTGGTTCACTGGTTCCAAGCATTATCCACTAATCTGTTTCCAGTAACTTATCCGTCTTTTCTTTTTCTTGCAGAACCAATAACTGGTATACATTAGTAGCCATGAATTCACGATTGTAGGAGTGTAGATTTGCCCGCACATAGTTTTAGTGTATAGTACGATAGTTTTAATGACGAGACCATATGTCACTTAGGGGTAGGAACTGGCTCAATTTAGTAGTGGATGAGGGTCAAAATTACGGCCCTGTTGAGAGACAGCTCACTAAAAGGTGACGACAGCTCGATGAATACACGGACAGCCCTCGTATTATTTAGTTATAAAATCACTGTACAACTCTATTTTTACAAGTATAAATTAATCTCCAACCCTTTTTAAAATGGACGCATTTTTTAAAAAACAAGATAGCCTACATCTTAGTCCAATTCAAGTAATAAGTAAGTATTATTATTGACTGGATATTATAATCTTTTGTTCATAACAAATACATATCTAACTGAGTAGAAATCTGCATTACATTCGTGTGCTAAAATATAGTCAGTTGTAGGGTAAAAATGACGTAGTTGAACTGGGCCACCAAAACACACTGATATCTATTACTGATTGCTGATTAATATGAAGGATGTTTTAGGGTGCGCTCTACCTCATCTCGGATTTCTCAATACGTTTAAAGAATAATGTCAACATTATCTGGAAAAAGTTGGAAAAAGTTCCCTTTCTGTAAATGTTGGGCGTTGCTGAACGCCCATGTCCCTATACCATTGAATTGAACAACCCCATGCAAGCCTTTCGAATCTGGGTGATTATTCGTTATCCTTAAGTTTTTAATAAACTAACTGCTGATTATTGTTTTTAAGAATCTATTGCACTTTCCCCGTTTTTATTTTTTTTCTCTAAAAGTTATTTGTATTTGTTAAAACTTATGATAAAAAAACGCGTATTTTAACATTTTTACCATCCTTTGAGCCCAAACATTTTTCAATTGTCAAAATTTAAAAAAATGGCAAAACCATAATAAAATTTAACGAAAGATCACTGACACCAAGACTTTTTAAATCGGTTCATAATTGGCGCTACAAACAGTAAGAACTAAAACCCTTGCATTTGCGTGCGCCAGACGGGTATAGCGCAGCCTTAAGCAAGCCAATCTGACAGGACAACAATAGCATTTGTTATCTCACACCCACCAAAACTATCACCGGCACCAAAATTTAGGCTATGAAAAGAATTTCAGAACGTAGTAAGCCTATATTCTTTAAATAGTTTATTCAATTATTTGTTTATTTAATGGCTACAGCTGTCCCATATTCATGTTGTGACTAAATTAGTAGAATTCAATGGTTCTAAAAGCTTATAAACATATTACAATAGTAACTTACGTGTGCCATCGAAGCGAGTGGCGATAGTGTCGAGGAATGTGTTTTGCGGCGCCAACAATCCCTTTCTGGCGGGCATGGGTCCTCCATTCACTCACACTGGAACAAACGACATTATGATCAAGCAGCCAACAATCCCTTTCTGGCGGGCATGGGTCCTCCATTCACTCACACTGGAACAAACGACATTATGATCAAGCAGCCAACAATCCCTTTCTGGCGGGAATGGGTCCTCCATTCACTCACACTGCAACAAACGACATTATGATCAAGCAGCCAACAATCCCTTTCTGGCGGGCATGGGTCCTCCATTCGCTCACACTGGAACAAACGACATTACGCCTCTTTCACACGACGCGGCGCGCGCCGTGCGGCGCCCGCCGCATCCGGCGTAGGGCTATGGGAGTATATGAGTCCTTTCACACTATGTCCGGCGCGCGGCCGGATGCACCTTGAGCCGGACGACAGCGCCGCGCGGCGTCCACGCCGGACAACTCGGTGAAGGTGCATTGGTTCTTATGGGAGCTTTCACACGGTGCGGCGCGCGCCGCACGGCCCAACCCCTACGCTGCCTCATTTTAGGCAAACTACCTGACCAAGAGGGTGCAACAGTTAATTAAGAAATTATATATCGTTGTATCGGAAAATAATATATTTAAAGTTATTACAAAACATACATTTTTATGTTAATCCCATGCAAATCGACCAACTTAAAGTATTAAACCAAAAATTTTCCTTTAATAACTAGAGGAGAATATTTAGTATTCAATTAATAATTTAGTAATTTATACGTAATGAAACATTTTTTTAACTTCTAAAATACAATATTTTCAGATATGAAGAATACTTATATATGTATAATACGTGAAGGTGATTTCTACGAAATACTACTCCTCCGTTAATAATGAACCGATTTTTACAAACGATGTGTCAAAATTAAGTATTTGTTGTGTACACGCCCCCTTTCACCAATTCCTGTAGTAAAAGTCCTCGGGCTTTGCCCCTCAGGCCATCAAAATCCCAATGTATATCTTATGAAGACAAGATTTTGTTTAGTTAAACGGACGAATAATTTGTATTAATTACAGCTGTTCATAGTACACACATGATACACACAAGAGTTTTCGTTTTCAGTTTCGATAGATGGAGTGGAGTGAGCGTTCGTTTTCAGAGTGAGTTCGTTTCCAGTTTCGATAACCGGAGTGGAGTGATTAGTTACATTATCTTTGAGTTGACTCTCACACGTCATACGGAAATAGTGACAGTTATTCGTAAAAAAACTCCTTTAATATTTTGCAATTGCTCAAATTCGAGCAACAGGTGCACTAGTTTATTATATTTAAAATTATCCTATTCATTTAATTTGAACTTTTAAGTGGAGTATTCATTTAAAAGCCATAACTGAACAGAAAATAATAAATATTTAGGAGTGCCGTACGGCGCGCGCCGCACGAAACCGTACTAGTGTAGACACACGCTTGTCCGGCGCAGCGCCGCGCGGCGGACGCCGTACGGCGCGCGCCGCTTCGTGTGAAAGAGGCGTTATGATCAAGCAGCCAACAATCCATTTCTGGCGGGCATGGGTCATCCATTCACTCACACTGGAACAAACGACATTATCATATCAAATCATTATATTGAGCTAAGTTGACAATACATTGCATTAGCTAAGTCAAACATAAATAATACAGCTTTCCTTCTTCGTTTTAAGCTAATGATTATGATCAAGCAGCCATGAACCATTTCCTTCCTATAGCATCCATATGGACACAGTTATTCTTGATTTTCTCCTTTTGAGACAGTTATACGTGGTTATAGACCCACAAATTTCTAGCTAAAAAGCAGATATCCTTAATCTTCCATGGAAATTACTTTCTTCAATGTTGGCAGCACTGAATTAAAACAAGAAAAACTATAATTCAGCTGGATGTGCACATGATCTGATGTGAATAAATTTCTTCAACTTTTAGAGATCAATATTATATTGTTTTTATAGTTTTATATCCATATAAATAATATATTTCATCACTAGGGACTAAAGTGACTCTTTTTGACCCGAGGTCAATTTTTACGATCAAGGCGAAGCCGAATTCGGAAAATGAGCGAGGGTTAAGAAAGTCACTTTTTGCCCGTGTGGTGGACTATATGTTTCGTTATATTGCATCATTAACAAACAAAGCTAGAAAACGAAATAATTTGTATGTAAATATAACCTCTCAAAACGACTTCCAACTTGTTTTTAATTCGTCTAATGCAAATAAGCAGCTGTTTAGTAAGTTATTCAACCATTTCGTCTATTACGATTGTTTTACAGTACATCATACCATTGATATATCGAGCAATCGACAACAATATGCCTTACCTAATAAATCAATCGTTAAATGATTTTAATCGAAATTTACAACTGTTTACAACAACAGATGTTTACTCCCTAGAGACTAAAAATTATGTTTACTCCTAGAGAGTACAAATGCTAAACCCGCAACGCATGCATCAAAAACGGATGTTTTTGCTGCAGTATGAAAAATATATTTTATGTTCCTTGCATACATTAGAATGAAAATAAGTCATTGTCATGGTTACAGATTTACTGTAGTTTTAAAATACCAATAAAATAAAACTAGCTCCAAATAAATACTACAGGCACAAGTTTTTCCCAACCTATAATATTCCTTAACACTGTTTTGTGCCTATAGATACCAAATGGATACAAGTTGTTCTTATTATGGTTGTCTGTTTCAACGGATACTAGGTTTCCACACGGAAACATGAAGCCATTTGGCACCTACAGGAAAACTGTGATCATGCAGCAATAAAACTTATACAATGCATCATTACTTGCAGCACATTATGAGACAATAGTATCCAAATGGATACAATTTACTTTTTTTATTTTAGAAGGAAATATGATTTTTTTGTCAAACACGACTAGTTTGAATCTAAATAAAAAGTAAAAAGAAAAAAAATGTATACCGTTTTTATAATTCATTCCGTAAAGAAAGGGAAAAAACTTACGTTAAAAACATACTGTTACATTTTGACACATTTTGATAGTCAAAAGTTCAATCCGTTATTATCAACGTGAAAAAGAGTACTTTAAAACTATTTTTATACCCTTGACAGCAGCTGTGTGACTGGAGGCATTCATTAGTGACAAACAATATTCCAACCACATGCAGCACTTGACATAAAACCTCGATACTCTACATTTTATTAGTGTAAACATGTGCGAATATGAGACATTTCAACCTTTTTGCACGGGGTTTTATGATTACTGTGAAGCTACCATTGGCTGAATCATTTGGTAGCACCTGACTTTTACATAGTTGCTATTGTAGCTTTTAATTTAGATCAAATCGTATATATATCTTTCATATAAACTCTTGTGATACGTTATATACTCATATATACAATATATATGTTGATTGGCTTTATATGTTAAACTCAATTAAAATATAAAGCCATCAACTGACTATTGTATACAACTGTGCAGGGGGTGTATATATAATTGAGAGGTTTTGTATAGTCTGCAGGTGGCGGTGTTAACTGCGGCGGTTCTCTGAGAGGTGTATTTCAGCAACAAATGAAGAGCAATGTTATGTTCGACCACGGGCCACTCGTACTACATTTTCATTACATTGACAAACATAGGATTACTGTCAACATACTCTGACCACGACAAGTTCCTTCATTGCTGCAGGTGGTTTTAGTACTAAACGTGTCACTACTGCTTTGAATATGACAGAGTTATACTATATGTATGAGGGGTCGATTATGGTCTAAAATTCTGAGAAGTTCAACAAGATATGATCATACATACCTAACAATAATTTGATATGCTTTTAAAACCCATAAAATTTGATGTATCCCAATAATAATTTTTAAGTAGCTAAACTATAAACAATAAACACACCACGACAATGGCCAAGCCACAGCGGTTTGTAACTAAATTAAGGAATAATGTGTAGCGTCAGTTATATAATGGGATTGAATAATGTAATATATGTGAGGTAGTTTACTGTGTTTAGCACTTTGAATCTGCAATAACAATTAGCGTAAGGCAATATAGTGCTATTTACTTAGTTATTCATTCTACTGTAAAGTAAAACTAAATTATTAAAGTAAACTAAAAAGAAGTACGATAGAAACCCAGTATGGACTGGTGCGCGAGTCTAAACCCATTAACGTTACAAGATTAGTAAAAATATCCTTAAATCCCAAAAGGTTTCAGGATATTTCGTACCTACGGACACATATGTGCCCGTATAAATACGTTTATCTATTTGGATTCGCAGCACTCATTTTATCACTAGAACTAGAATATTTTGAAACAGTAATGTAAAGAAACTACTGAAAAAGTTATGTTTAAAGAAAAAAATATAGTACCGCGGTACCGAACCAACGTCTAGGTGGGCAAAAAGACAACTTCAACCAAGGGTAATGAAGACTAGAGAAACATATATTTCCGCACACAAAGATATCACTAGCTAATTCAGAAACTCAAGGAGATTTTTAAGTGGATCATGAGCCTTATATTTCAGTAATCAGGAGGACTCTACACCAACAAAAAAGCTGAAAAACAGAACCCAAAACTAAGATCAATCTTTGTAAGAATTAGAAATTCACTAATCTCCTGAGTAAGTGGCTGGGGAGCTGAGTGGTATCAGTGCTTGACTTACAATTAAAAGGTTGCCGGATCGATCCTGAGAAAGTCTGTAGCTTATTCAATGTTCGAAACTAGACCCAACTGTCCATCCTGGCTAATAAACAGGTGATTTTAGCCAGTAATATACAGTAGTTGGCTATTGGCTGTAGGATAATATTGAGTATTGGATATTGGGTGATATCATTGACTTTTTAGTATTGGATATCATCTCATTTCATTCTATACTCACCCTTCACTCATATTTAGGTCAAAGCACGCCTCTAGGTAGCAACCCCATCTCAATGAATTGATAATCTACTTTTGAAATAAGTTACAAATCATACACAAACACCTCCTTCCGCCCTGGTTCTGAGTGCACCAGGTGAAATGTGACAAATGCTATACTATTGTGGAGAAAAGCGGAGAAATCGAGGTTTTCTTGGCTGATGTATTA